GCTGCTGTGCTGGTGCTGCTGTGGTGCTGCTGCTGTGGTGCTGCTGCTGCTGCTGCTGCTGTGGTGCTGCTGCTGCTGTGGTGCTGCTGCTGCTGTGCTGCTGCTGCTGTGGTGCTGCTGCTGTGGTGCTGCTGCTGCTGTGCTGCTGCTGCTGTGCTGCTGCTGCTGTGGTGCTACTGCTGTGGTGCTGCTGCTGTGGTGCTGCTGTGGTGCTGCTGCTGTGCTGCTGTGGTGGTGCAGCTGCTGTGGTGCTGTAATAACTTTAATAACAACGTTAAGCCTCGGTACACAATAACTTTACTCAGCCTCAGAGCTTGAAGTCGCAGACTACGCTGAAAAACCGTTATCCAGACCATAGACAAACTGTTTAAAGGTAATAGCGCCGAAGATCTTCAGCTAATACTTGAACTAACCCGCACACAAACAAGAAATTTAGCATCCAGCATAACCTACTCCGGCCTAACCTCAGCTGGCCTAACCTATTCACTCTGCATCTCCTCACAACCTTACAGCCAATGACTGGCTCTACCTGCTCACTGGCCCCGCCTCTCTAACTTTTTGCAGCTAATGAGGTTAGGTTGGGCCCTCTCAGGTTAGTTTTGGGTGGGGAAATATAACGATGTTCGAAGGTTTGGCCAGAAAATGTTAAGCCGAAGTAGGTTTGGCCAGAAAATGTTAAGCCGAAGTAGGTTTGGCCAGAAAATGTTAAGCCGAAGTAGGTTTGGCCAGAAAAGGTTAAGCCGAAGTAGGTTTGGCCTGAAAATGTTGAGCCGAAGTAGGTTTGGCCAGATCCAGTATGACCAAATTGACCATGACCTTAACTTGGACTTGGACAAGCTTAAGCGGAGGCTGTGGACATCCGGCACCGAATTTTTAGCACTCGTGATCATATTTACACCCTCTAGCGAGCTTATCCACGAGAAGTAATATTAGTTAAGTGTGAAGTTGGCCACTGGCTTCAGGCGTTTTCCCCCATGCACTGCGACCCTAGCCACACCGCTACCCTAGCGCCACCGTCACCGCCACTGCCACTGCCGCATTATCCACGCTGCCGCCACTGCCACCGCTGCCACTGCCACTGCCACCGCTCGCTTCCAGCTGAGGAGCGCCAGCAGCGCTGGACGGCGGCGCCGGCCTGGCGCGTCGTAAGAACTGCGCGATATCCTGCGCCTTGTGTGATATCCTGCGCCTTGTGTGATATCCTGCGCCTTGTGTGATATCCTGCGCCTTGTGTGATATCCTGCGCCTTGTGTGATATGTTGCTTTTATAATAATAACAATAACAACATCAATAACAGCAACAACAAAAACAGCAGCTGCCACAACAACAGCAACATCAACAGCAGTAACAACAGTAACAACAGCAGCAACAGTTACAGCAGCAACAACAGCAGCAACAGTAACAACAAACAGTAACAACAGCAACAACAGCAGCAACAAACAGTAACAACAGCAACAACAGCTGCAACAGTAACAACAGCAACAACAGCAGCAACAGTAACAACTAACAGTAACAACAGCAACAACAGCAGCAACAGTAACAACAAACAGTAACAACAGCAACAACAGCTGCAACAGTAACAACAGCAACAACAGCAGCAACAGTAACAACAAACAGTAACAGCAACAGCAACAGCAACAGCAACAGCAGCAAGGTTCCATTCATTGCTGCTGCCATGTACGGCGCCCGCCTCAGGCCCTGACCTCCTGCCTCCCCTCACCCCCCCCCTCGCGCTACACCTGTCNCTCGCCCCCCTCTCGCCTTACCCCCTCCCCCTTCTCTCTCTCTGTGCCTCTCCCCTCGCGCCTCACCCCCGTTCTCTCTCGTACCCTCAGGCGTCCTCCTTCACCCTTTACATTTTTTGCTTTCGTTCCCCCCTATCTTCTCACCCTCTCTTTCCCCACTCTCACCCTCTCTCTCACCTCTCCCTCACGCCCCTCTCCCACTCTCTCTTTCACCTCTGCACGCTCTCTTTCCCCTCTCCCTCCCCTCTCCCACCCTCCATTTTAACTTTACTTAGTTAGGCCAGCCTGCTCAGTCAAGCCAGCCTGCTCAGTCAAGCCAGCCTGCTCAGTCAAGCCAGCCTGCTCAGTCAAGCCAGCTGGGTTGTTATGGGGGGGCGGGGGATGCCTGTGTGGGGGTGACTGTGGCATGGGGGTGACTGTGGCATGGGTTGACTGTGGCAGCGCAGCAGTGGCAGGCTCGCCACATTCGCTGCCACCGGAGCCGTGCTACGCGCTCTCGGTGTCCGTCAAATTTGCACTCCTGATATAGGCTTCAGTCAGACGTTATCATTATTATTATCATCATTTATATTATCATTATCATCTTTGATATTATTATTATTATTATTATCATCAGTGATGTAATAGAACTAATATTGTAGCCGGATCAGAATTTAATGTTAAGTTAATGTTTTGGCCACATCGTGTTAGGCGATCTATTCATTTGTTTCAACACTTAATTCATCAATAGCGTGTCTCAAGAATGTTGTATGAAATGTATTCATTTAAGTTTTTTAAGTTTTACGTTTTTTAAGTATACTAAATATATTTATTTAAGTTCGTACACTTCTATCATAATTTTAATGTTTCTATCATAAAACGGCAGTTTGACGAAAATTAGTCATTTCAGTCTCCCTTCACATTTTTATAAAAAATCTGCTCGTTTGATTACTCGTATTTATCTAATTAATTAATTAGAAGCTTAATCAGGGAGCCTTATAAAACTTTTTCAGTTTTCTAAATAAAATGAACTAATTCTAATTTATTACGTACTTAATAACTCCTACTAATGAGTTTAACTGAAGGTATAATTACAGGCGGCTTCAGCCAGTTCCAGCAGCTGTACCCTGAGTGGTGCGAGGGCTCCACAGACTCTGCGTGTTCTCTGCTGCCTGCGCCCGCAGGAATAGCATCCTCGGACAAACTCTGCGGCGAGGCTCCGATTGTAGGACTTAAGTCCTTAAGAATATCCCCCGGCGAGTCCTTATTACCCTTGGACGCGTTGGACGGCGGCAAAGGGCTGTGTGACTCGTCCTTAGGGCGCGAGACGCCCCTAGACGACCTGTGCTTCCCTGTGGAGATCTTGCCGCACCTCTTCCTGGGCAACGCCAAGAACTCCGGCGACATGGACGCGCTCAATAGGCATAAAATACAGGTGGGTTGTGTGGGTGATGTGTGGACAGACATACAGTGCAGGTGTGTTGTGTGGGCAGGCATAAAATACAGGCGATGTGTGGACAGACATACAGTGCAGGTGTGTTGTGTGGGCAGGCATAAAATACAGGCGTGTTGTGTGGACAGACATGAAATACAGGTGGGTTGTGTGGGGAGGTGTATAATACAGGCGTGTTGTGTGGACAGACATGAAATACAGGTGTGTTGTGTGGACAGGTGTATAATACAGGTGTGTTGTGTGGACAGACATACAATACAGGCGTGTTGTGTGGACAGACATGAAATACAGGAATGTTGTGTGGACAGGCATAATATACAGGTATGTTGTGTGAACAGACATGAAATACATGTACGTTGTGTGGACAGACATAAAATACATGTACGTTGTGTGGTATACCGACACCATATAGATGTATCTTACTTACATGTATTATCGTAAAACACACGCAGCAATACATCATACATTAATGATATACATGTATACATGTTCTCATTAATGTGTACTCTTAACATCGATGCTCTCTAATTTGGTAATAAATAAAGACCAGCAAGCCTCGCTTATCGCACGCCTTATCATCGTGAATCACTCAACATATTCATGTTAATGATAAGGTTATGCTTTCATGCTAATCATCTATACTCTTATCATTATCACTTGAATATCTATAGTCATATATATGTATAGTAGTATAGTCATATATATGTATTGTAGTATAGTCATATATATGTTTAGTCATATATATGACTATTTATAAATGGATGATGGCGTGGATGATTGCTGGTGTAGCGGGGGATGATGGCGTGGATGATTGCTGGTGTAGCGGGGNCGCCGGACCTGCCTAACGTGTTCCTCTCATTACAGTACATCGTGAACGTGACGCCGGACCTGCCTAACGTGTTCCTCTCATTACAGTACATCGTGAACGTGACGCCGGACCTGCCTAACGTGTTCCTCTCATTACAGTACATCGTGAACGTGACGCCGGACCTGCCTAACGTGTTCCTCTCATTACAGTACATCGTGAACGTGACGCCGGACCTGCCTAACGTGTTCCTCTCATTACAGTACATCGTGAACGTGACGCCGGACCTGCCTAACGTGTTCCTCTCATTACAGTACATCGTGAACGTGACGCCGGACCTGCCTAACGTGTTCGAGGGCTGCGGCCACTACAAGTACATGCAGATCCCCATCTCTGATCACTGGAGCCAGAACCTCGCGTCCTTCTTCCCCAAGGCCATCCAGTTCATAGGTGGGTCATGGGGAGAGGTGGGTCAGGAGAGAGGTGGGTCATGGGGAGAGGTGGGTCAGGGGAGAGGTGGGTCAGGGGAGAGGTGGGTCAGGGGAGAGGTGGGTCAGGGGAGAGGTGGGTCATGGGGAGAGGTGGGTCAGGGGGAGAGGTTGTCATGGGGAGAGGTGGGTCATGGGGAGAGGCGGGTCATGGGGAGAGGTGGGTCATGGGGAGAGGTGGGTCATGGGGAGAGGTGGGTCAGGGGGAGAGGTGGGTCATGGGGAGAGGTGGGTCAGGGGAGAGGTGGGTCAGGGGAGAGGTGGGTCATGGGGAGAGGTGGGTCATGGGGAGAGGTGGGTCAGGGGGAGAGGTGGGTCATGGGGAGAGGTGGGTCAGGGGAGAGGTGGGTCAGGGGAGAGGTGGGTCAGGGGAGAGGTGGGTCATGGGGAGAGGTGGGTCAAGGATACGGCAAATATTATTATATTATTATTATATTGGGTTTGTTATACGGTTATTATATGTTATTACATCAATAACAACGGAATTCTTCAGCATTTATGCAATGGCTGTCCAGATAATCACCGTGAAATAGTAACAGCCAACGGAACAGCTGCTAGGGATGTTGTTTTATGTACATTGTGGCAACAGAGAACATTCAGTGAGGTAATGTTTAAAATGCCTCATATCGCATTTCTATGAGAACCATGTTGAGGTATGAAGGTTCCTCGTCCAAATTCATCCCTTCATGTGGGCTTCACATGCACATGTTGATCTGGTCATGTTGTCTCAGACATGTTATTTTCTTGTAATCTATGAGGTCAATGATGTATAGTGATCTATAGAGTAAGATACGCGTGTTGATACATGTGTTGATACGCGTATTGCGTGTTGTCGATGCACGTATTGCGTGTTGTTGATGTGCGTATTGCGTGTTGTTTATACACGTATTGCGTGTTGTTGATGCACGTATTGCGTGTTGTTGATACGCGTATTGCGTGTTGTTGATGCACGTATTGCGTGTTGTTGATGTGCGTATTGCGTGTTGTTGATGCACGTATTGCGTGTTGTTGATGCACGTATTGCGTGTTGTTGATGCGCGTATTGCGTGTTGTTGATGTGCGTATTGCGTGTTGTTGATGCGCGCATTGCGTGTTGTTGATACGCGCATTGCGTGTTGTTTATACACGTATTGCGTGTTGACAAATGTGTCACGTGATTATACGGTTGTTATCAATCAAGTTGTATTTGAATATACATGATCGTTATCGGGGCCGCGTTATCAGCCTGTACGCAGCTTGATGTACAGGTATTGCACAGCTGTATGTACAGGTTCCGGGTGCACAGCTGTATGTACAGGTCCGGGGTGCACAGCTGTATGTACAGGTTCCGGGTGCACAGCTGTATGTACAGGTCTGGGGTGCACAGCTGTATGTACAGGTCCGGGGTGCACAGCTGTATGTACAGGTCCGGGGTGCACAGCTGCATGTACAGGTCCGGGGTGCACAGCTGTATGTACAGGTCCGGGGTGCACAGCTGTATGTGTGTACAGGTCCAGGGTGCACATCTCAAATCGCGCACCCTGAGACGAGACGGGTGCGCTTAGCCGAGCCTGTCGCACTCTAGCTGGACGCAGCCGTGAAATAATAACCGGCCAGTTGTCTCTGGAACAGCGATGCGCCACGAGAAATGATATAGAGAAATATACTTCAACAGACCCGAGAGGGACGGAATACGACGCTGTTAGGGCGCTGCCACTTGGCATGGACGGCAGGGCGCTGCCACATGGCATGGGCGGCAGGGCGCTGCCACATGGCATGGGCGGCAGGGCGCTGCCACATGGCATGGGCGGCAGGGCGCTGCCACATGGCATGGGCAGAGGGGCGCTGCCACATGGCATGGGCGGCAGGGCGACGCATCAAGCCAGTGTTCGGGCCGTGCATTATCTAGTTTAGTTCAGGTGACATACTACATTATTTCCAGTCCATTTCTAGTTCCATTCATGATTATTATACCACGTTATTATTTTTTTATTTCAATACTCTGATATATGTACATATGACGTACATATATTGTATTGTACTGTTTTACCCTCTACTGCGCGGCTCCTGCACAGCGGCGGAGCCCCACTTCCGGTCGCGCGGCAGCCGGAAGTGAGGGAAAGGCAGGGGGGGGGGGGGGNGGTCGTGTTGAGGGGTCCGTTGAAACGGTCGTGTTGAAGGGTCTGTTGAAACGGTCGTGTTGAGGGTCTGTTTAAACGGTCGTGTTGAGGGTCTGTTGAACGGTCGTGTTGAAGGGTCTGTTGAAACGGTCGTGTTGAGGGGTCTGTTGAAACGGTCGTGTTGAAGGGTCTGTTGAAACGGTCGTGTTGAAGGGTCCGTTGAAACGGTCGTGTTGAGGGTCTGTTGAAACGGTCGTGTTGAGGGGTCCGTTGAAACGGTCGTGTTGAGGGGTCTGTTGAAACGGTCGTGTTGAGGGGTCTGTTGAAACGGTCGTGTTGAAGGTCTGTTGAAACGGTCGTGTTGAGAGGTCTGTTGAAACGGTCGTGTTGAGGGTCTGTTGAAACGGTCGTGTTGAGGGTCTGTTGAAACGGTCGTGTTGAGAGGTCTGTTGAAACGCTCAGGTTTACGGCCATGAGTGATGTAGTCACACTCTTACGTACTAGTTTGTAGACCTGCCTTCCGTCGCGATGTATCGTCAAGGTGCCATACTTTCAAAACTCGCTAAGTGAACGGAAGCACTTACGTTATATTATCTTATCATATGATTTGTGGATTTTGCTTGAAAGGCTGTCAATGATTGGCTGATGAACCTTCGATCTCTTAACTTTTTTTGAAAGTATAGGCCATGCAAGGTTAACATTTTTATGCAGCATTTGTGCGTCAGCGCGCATTGGTCCTTACATTTCACTGCTTTGAAATAGACTTTCATGACCACATCCGTGACACTGGCTGGCGGTAAAGTTGTGGTGGATGTGCGAACTGTATGAGCATTCAGAGTTGTGTGCAATACACTCAAGCGCGGCGAGCCTCTGTACAGGTGTGGAACACACAGATTTGGTGTATAATATGCGTGTTAGCAGAGCTTGGGAGGATGCAAGGATTTAGAGCTGTGTGATGATTTGTGTGGATGAGCTGTGTAGATGAGATGTGTGTATGAACTGTATAGATGAGCTGTGGAGATGCGATGTCTGGATGAGATGTGTGGATGAACTGTGTGGATGAGCTGTGTAGATTTGTGTAGCAGCGCCGGATGTCCGGTGTATGGCGCCATTCACCGCAGATGCCGTGCAGCCAAAGTTATAACCTGTAAGATAATCAAGAGAACTTAAGGGAGTCTTACTTGTATTCTCGCAAAACATTCAGCTTTGCAGGCTTTGACTTTTTATTATCGATGTAGCCTAGATTTTGCACAAAATATGGTGACAAGTGACATATCGCAGTGAGAAAACGACGAAAGAATACCGTAAAATGGGGTAACTTTGACCACTTTTTTTCAAAATGATGCCATTTTTTACTAGATAAGTTAAACTTAAATTGAAACATGCAAAATACAGGTCTATACTCTAGCTTCACTCACCATATATTGCTGGCTCCTGCCTCTCATAGTTTTGATGTAATTTCAAAAAAAGTGATGGTCTTTGTTACCCCAGCTCTTGGGGTTTCTTTGACCGGGCGGTAAAATCAATTCTATTTTTTGGTAAAATAACTCCAAATAACGCCAGGTTGTGGTGCATTGTAGTAGAACTCTTCTAGTTACATATGCAAAAGACAAATTTTAGGAAAGTGTCATAGTTTGCAAATGGGGGGCGCCGCCCCCAAATGGGCGAAATGTGACCATCTAATGGCAGCTGTGATGGGGTAACATAGACCGGTTTGGAAATTAAGTTAAAATTACCATGTATAAGACTCTGTAGAGTCTGAAACATAAAGAAAAAAACATTAATAGGTGTATCAAACATAAAATATGTTATATAGGTACCTATGGTAATTTTAACTTAATTTCCAAGCCGGTCAATGTTACCCCATCACGGCTGCCATTAGGTGGTCAAAGTTTTCCCATTGGGGGGTGGTGCCCCCCATTCGAAAACTATGACATTTTTCTAAAATTTGTCTTTTGCATATGTAACTAGAAGAGTTCTACTACAATGCATCAAAACCTGGAGTTATTTTACCAAAAAATAAAAAAAATTGGATGGGGTCTGTTGAATTAAAGCCGACAGGCTTTAAATAATAGCTCTTTTTCGTGGGTCACATTATTAATTTTTTAACCTATTAGATATGCAAACTTTTTAAATCTTTCTATTGTGTTACGTAGCCTCAGTATTAGGCCTTTGATGGCCATTGACAAAATTTGTCAAATCGTTTTTGAGTTTTGTAGGGGTTTTTGTTAAAAAAACAAAAAGTGGTCAAAGTAACCCCATTTTTCGGTATATTGATAAGATTGAAAATAATAATTATCAATTACGCTATCAATACATTGTTGAATTTTAGTTTATATGCAATGAATTTCATCCTGCTTGAGGTGAATCATAACTTCACACGATGAAGGATATTTTCAACTCGTGGCTTTTATATCGCCTTCAACAATTCATGAATACGGGGCGCATTGAAATGTAAACAATACTCGCATGTGATCATACAAAAATAGGAGTACGAGTTAATTGGTTACTGCTCTATATTAATACAAAAATAGGATGAATGCTAGTTAATTGGTTGATTTTATCAGCAAGAACATGTGCCGATCTCATAGTTTTAAATGATAAGCATTTCACTGACCTCTGGAGTGGCCGCTCGACGATATGCGTTATTGCCTGCCTTGACTGCCCGAAGATATGCGTTATTGCCTGCCTTGACTGCTCGAAGATATGCTATTATGCCTTCGCATAACGTGGCAAAACCCGTCCCTCGTGTAAATGGTTATTTTGCTAACCTGCTACTAAGGGTAGGCTCACTAACCTGCTACTAAGGGTAGGCTCACTAACCTGCTACTAAGGGTAGGCTCACTAACCTGCTACTAAGGGTAGGCTCACTAAATGCACGCAAGAAAGTCCCTCGGTTGCGACCGCTGGCAACTAGAGTCTCTGTCAAGCTCCAAGCACCGCCATTGCTTGCCATCTTTTTGCTTTCAAAAATGTCTAAAGTTTGAATTTCAATTTCTAAACAGCTATTGTTAGTTAATGTTTAAATTCATGAATATTTTAACAAAAATATTGTCGAAAAACAGCATCTCTTCGTTCTGTTTACTTATTAGCGCGAGGCCAACATCTTTCCTCGTACTTTCCTGACGAATCTCGAGTCTATTTCTCTGTCTCATTTACTAACGTTTCTTCCATTCATTCACATGTCAACAACTTTTGTACCATATAAAACTAATGCAAATCCCTTTTTTAATGGTACAAGATCTTCACTAAGAGTTGCCAATGTTCACCATGCATGTGAATTGGAATGTTTTTATCGAACGTCTTCACTTGTTCTCTTTTTTCTTGCAACGTTGTGTGGACATTACGCATGCGCGCTGCATTTGTTTGCGTCAAAAGAGAGGAAGCGCAAGGCGATAACAAGCGTCGATCTGGCAGGATACTCTGAACTGATATGGCTCTTGGATACGAGGTAACTCATTGGTATTCAAATTACTTAGAGAATTTCTGCTAATAAAAGAATAGAAACTACAAATTCTACTATCGCAGCATCTGGGATGGTTTACAGAGCTTTGATTTACTGGCGTCAGCGCCTGACGCATTTGCGATGAGAAGAAAACTTATTGCTGCGTGCTGCTGATATCAAGTGCTGTGCATCACTGCACTCTGCACTTCAACCACTGCGCTCTGCACTGCAACCACTGCACTCTGCACTGCAACCACTGCGCTCTGCACTGCAACCACTGCGCTCTGCACTGCAACCACTGCGCTCTGCACTGCAACCACTGCGCTCTGCACTGCTGCAACCACAGAGCTCTGCACTGCAACCACTGCGCTCTGCACTGCAACCACTGCGCTCTGCACTGCAACCACTGCGCTCTGCACTGCAACCACTGCTGTTTTTCACAACCATCGCTTGTCTTCATTGCTTGAATATTTCTATCCAAACATTCCTCCATTTCCTCCAAACCTTCTTATTCTCTCGCCATGAATAAATTTGTAGGCTCAGATAATGCCTCGGCAGTTAGGCCGCTTATTGTTGTGATAGTGCAGTTGTATGTTGTGAGAGTGCAGCTGTATGTTGTGATAGTGCAGCTGTATGTTGTGATATTGCAGTTGTATGTTGTGATAGTGCAGTTGTATGTTGTGATAGTGCAGCTGTATGTTGTGAGAGTGCAGCTGTATGTTGTGATAGTGCAGCTGTATGTTGTGATAGTGCAGCTGTATATGTTGTGATAGTGCAGTTGTATGTTGTGATAGTGCAGCTGATGTTGTTATAGTGCAGCTGTATGTTGTGAGAGTGCAGCTGTATGTTGTGATAGTGCAGCTGTATGTTGTGATAGTGCAGCTGATGTTATAGTGCAGTTGTATGTTGTGATAGTGCAGCTGATGTTGTGATGGTGCAGCTGTATGTTATGATGGTGCAGCTGTATGTTGTGATAGTGCAGCTGTATTTAATAACAATGCAGTTGCATTTAAAATAGTGCAGCTGATGTCGCTATAGTGCAGCTCCTGACCGTGTTGTTTGTTACAGACGAGGCGCGGGAGAGCGGCGTGGGGGTGCTGGTGCACTGTCTAGCTGGCATCTCACGGAGCGTGACCATCACCGTGGCCTACCTCATGTTCAAGAAGAAGCTCAGCCTAGAGGCGGCCTATGACTACGTCAGAGTTAAGAAAGCAAACATCGACCCAAACTTCAACTTTATGGGTCAACTTAAAGATTTTCAAGTTCAGCTGAACTTGTCGCCGCAGAAATGCTCTTGTATCGCGGACTGCAGATGTCGACACCTGCACTTCTTGTCTTCCCCGGACTCTGGCATTGAGTTCGATAGGTACTCATGAGGACATGTTACCCCGGCTGGGGAGAGAGGGGGAAGCAGTTATTCTTCCCCACTGGTAACTTGCTCTGCAGGACTTGCCTCTCCCCACGTTGGGTCGAGTTCTTCCTCATCTTCTACTTCATCTTTATCGTTCCATTCTATGTCGCCCTTCGCGATGAGTCGGCATTCTGGGTCGCCGTTTGCTATGAGTCGCTCACCGTCCGTCCTGCCCGTCAAACCTAAACTCGAACTTGAAGGAAAACTTGCAAGTGATAAAGGTTATAGTGATGAGGGGGCCACAGTGGGGAGGGAGGGTGATGAGCAGGGCGAAGGAGGAGAGATTTGTGATGATGAATATGAAGATGGTGTTAATAGTGGCAGCGGAACTGGTGGTATTGAAGGTGAGGACGGTGGTGGTGGTGGTGGTATTGGAGGTGATGACGCTGGTGGTGGCGAGGGTATTGAAGGTGATGACGGTGGTGGTGGCGGCGGTATTGAAGGTGATAACGATGGTGATGGAAAAAACGGTGGTGCTCACAATGATGCTGATAAAGCAAATGAATGATTCTATAACATCATTAGCAGTAGGATTTAGGGACTTTTGAACAGAGCAGAACTTTTGTACTGGGTTTGTTGAGAGAATATTTAGTGCGTTAGTTAATTGTAAGCAATGTTGTTATGCTGGTCGTAATGAAGTAGCTTAAGCCCATTATGATTGCCATAATATATCCCGTACATGTACGTCAAATCCAACGTTTATCAATGTAAATCGTTTAACCTTCCTCGCAATGAGCTGTGGACTATCAAGGATTAAATTCAAGATAAGATAAGACTTTAATTTTATCGTCGAGTGCTTTTCCTTATTACCCACCTTGCCTGTCTGTCACGTGTACGTAACATTGTACGAGGACTTGAGCGATAAACTCATTACTCATTGAGAATTATCAAGTCCACGAATTTCTTGTCAGCCTTCGTCAGTTGATCAAAAAAATACGATTTTTTTTTGTTTTTGTTCCTTCCTTGTTTGGAATATCTCCTGAGTTTTGTGGCGTGTGTACGGCGGAAAAACTGTCGCTTGTTTAGGATCCCTTCAAAGTTCATTTGATATGATATGATATATGATAGTTCACGCATGAACAACGATATAGGTTCTGGTCACTACCAAATTCTTCTGGTATTCACGACTTCATTCATTGCACTATCGCTGCTTCAGGATACGTCAAGTGATAATTTTCGTCCATTTTAGTCCTCGTGATTTATAGTCGCTTTATTGAGCAAGTATTAAAACTATTTGGTGCCGGAAAAATTTTTTCCAGTATTGTGTCTATCCCTGCAAGAAATAAGGCTAACTGTAGAAGTAATTAATTTGTCGAAGGATTAAAAGGATAAGTTGCATCTTGCTCAGGACATGCCTAGTGTAGGGAAGCTTTCCGTGTCAGGGAGGTTCAGGAAACAGTAATTATAGAGAGGTAATTAAATGAGGGCTTCGCTGCTTGGTGTAATACTTCTGCTGGATACCCACTCTATTACCTTGCTCACTCCCTCATACTGTACCTAACTGCTGGGGGGGGCCTGACCGACCGTACCCAGCTGTCCTGCCCCGCTGGACGTGCCCGCCCGACCGTACCCAGCTGACCTGCTCTGCTGGACGTGCCCGCCCGCCCGTACCCAGCTGACCTGCCCTGCTGGACGTGCCCGCTCGACCGTACCCAGCTGACCTGCCATGCTGGACGTGCCTGCCCGACCGTACCCAGCTGACCTGCTCTGCTGGACGTGCCCGCCCGACCGTACCCAGCTGACCTGCCATGCTGGACGTGCCCGCCCGACCGTACCCAGCTCACCTGCCATGCTGGACGTGCCCGCCCGACCGTACCCAGCTCACCTGTCCCTGGACGTGTCCGCCCGACCGTACCCAGCTGACCTGCCATGCTGGACGTGCCCGTGCCTACGAAGGGGTTGTCACATTTTATCCCTGAATTAAAGGCTGTTTAATTTATTTTGTTCCACCGCATTGACGCGCCTCCCGCGGCTTAATCTTTGGTCTTCAGCTCGCCGACATCTCGCTCAGTGACATTCTGCTCGATGAGACCGAGCTTAATTTTGCTTATCCTGACAATTTTGTTTTCATTTTGACGGCTTCTGAGGAACGGTTGCTGCTGTCGACATTTTAACGTGACTTTAAACGGCGCATTGGTTGAATTTACCTATTTCTAACGCAACTTACATAATGTACGTTTTATTTCTAAGCCTTGCATTAAATAATTCGTGCAGTACTAAAAAGCGCAATGCACTTGTTATAAAATGAAAACTTGTTCGTAATTGCTTGCTTCTTCTCGAGACATTATGACTCGTACAGCGCTGTGTGTGATGTCGTGTCGGCTTCCATTGTCCGCTCCTGATTGCACCGAACAGGTAAATTAATTCAAAATATTTATTGCAAATCGTTTAGTGTTTGTGCCAAAGTGAACCACAAGAGGCAACAAGTTCATCAGTTCAATTACTTTTACTTACTCAGTAGTATTACTACGTCTATCCACCTGGTTATAGTACTACTACTTACGTGCAGAGCATTACTCGTTTGTGCTGAATAGAACCTCCGTCTGAATAAGTGGTAGGAACAATTCACTACATTATAAAGGAATCCTTATACAGTTTTTCCGAGTAGTATAAGAAGGAGGCGCTCGTAAGTTTTGTTCGTAGGTGATTATTGAAGTTAAAATAAATACTGAAGGGTGCATGCCGAGACTGAGATTGAAGAGTTGAATGTTATAGATTATTTAAGACGTGCAGACAGCGGTTCTGCATTTGTGAGGAATGCGGTATGAATGCTCATGCCCTGTAATGTATACATAAACACCATCCTGCGAGGTTCGTTCAGGGCAAATTATTTAGTCTTCATTTATGTATATATTCTGTTGACTGTCTGCTACTTCCACACTAGTTACAAATTCTTATTGAAGTCATTTGTTAGGCGTTCCCCAACATTCCTTCAAACTCAGTGGAAAAATAGACATAGCCTCGAGCGCTTCAGACTCGATGTGTCGTTTCTAGCATTTCATGTCTCTTAACATCACAACTGTTTTTGCTGTTGTCGTTAATGTTCTTTGCTGTAACATGGAATACTGTTCATTTTTCCAATGTTTTACCAAATTTTTGCATTTTTGAAATGTCATTATTTAGGCTGTTTTTGCATTGTTTGCATTGCTGTATTGATAACGATAATGTTGGTCGGTTGAGTTGCGTTCAACAGAAATTCATCCTTCCGCTTGTTTTGAACTTGAACGGAAAAATAAAGAGAATTTTTTGAGTTGAACTCGAAGTTTTTTTTAATTTTGAAAGTTAGGATGTCGTCGGCATGAGCTAAGAACATTAATGATCTATTTCGCTGCTGTAATGAGGTACTCCCGACTAATGAAGTAAGATCACACAAATGTTATGTATATTTTATTGTCTTATTTTTGCCATATACAAAGCGCAGCCTCGCTACCTCTGGCATGAGCGATGCCAGATACGCTGTGTTCGCTGTATGAAATGTGTACTCGGTATATTGTGTTCTCTCAAGTGTTCGTCCTATTGTGTTCCTGTGTTGTCTGCACATCCTCCAACTTGTATAAGGCTCGCTGCCATGAGCTCTGTATTATAGTAATGTATTTTTCCATTATTTTCCTGCCATTAGGTTTTTGTAATAAAATAATTACATTTTTTGTCTTTTAGTTCCCTTATTATTTGCATTTACGCGAAGTTTATTTCTGTTTTCTTTTTAACTTAGTTATTTTATTTTTATCACAAGCTGTTACTCTTCGTTATTCCGTCCAACGCCTTCATTCAAACTACCAACTTCACATCTCGCGTACACGTTCAATTTAATTTTACGTGAAATTAACGTTAACTAAACTTTACGGTAACTTGATGTTAATTAAACTTGACGTTGAATTAACATTAATTAAACTTTACCTCATTGTAACGTCAATTAAACGGGATCTCAGCGTCATTGCGTGGGGGGTAGTTACTTGGATGTAAGGTAGCCGTGATACCTGTCGGTAACATGGTTAGTATGTTGGTGCGTTACCGTGTGTATGTTGGTGCGTTACCGTGTGTATGTTGGTGCGTTACCGTGTGTATGTTGGTGCGTTACCGTGTGTTATATATTGGTGCGTTACCGTGTGTATGTTGGTTGCTGCACCATTACCTTCTGTTGCTACACCATCACCTTTTGTTGCTGCACCATCACCTTCTGTTGCTGCACCATTACCTTCTGTTGCTGCACCATTACCTTCTGTTGCTGCACCATTACCTTCTATTGCTACACCATTACCTTCTGTTGTATTCAATGCGTGTGTATGAGAACATGTGTGCGTCAAGTGACAATCTATTCTACTCTTGTGTGCCTGTATGGAGCTGAAATATACACCACCATCGTCACAAATGTTTAGTGCGATGAGAACTAAAGGTTGAAATGATCCAGGGATGATGTATAAATAATAGATTAATAAGTTCGTATTGTTGTTGCAAATAATGATGTTATACAGCCTGATTAATATCATTTCTCGGAGACCTAATACTTTGTTATGCATTTCTGTCACCTGAGATTTCTCTATAGGATGTCGAACTTGCCGAGTCATTTTACTCAGATTACTGAGGAACTTTCCGGTCAACTTACACATGTCGAACTTTCCGGTCAACTTACCCATATCGAACTTTCCAGTCAACTTACCCAAGTCGAACTTACCCAATCAAGCCACCCATGTTCGTGCGCAGCGTTTATGGCAAGCATAACAAATGTAGTGTTCAAGCATCTCTGATTTAAATTCGTAGTAATGTAAAACTAAACGTGGAACTTGATACTATCACTTTAATAGCGTAGGCTATAACAACCATGCCGGCACTTATATGGTACACCATCCTGTACTTATATGGTACACCATGCTTTATAGACCAGTTAATGAGCGTTATACTTAATGAGGCACAAGTTAATTGGCTATAGACCAGTTAATGAGCGTGTTGCTTTCTAGTATTGCTGAGAAAGTATTTATAAACAGATCTGTTGACTGTTCATTATGATAGTTTAGTTAAGTATATTATTTCAATATACTCCACACCTGTATATTGACCGATAAACCAAGTAGATCAATGTAAGGCTTGGCTGTGAGCAATAGCTTGTGGAACTTTATCTATACTTTGACTGGGTCGCCTGCTGGTAAAATTGAAATTTGAATTTTTTTTTACATTTTATCTCACGCACTTTCGCCATTTACATCGCGTGAAAATTATTCCCGATTTGCGATGTGTTCTGGCCATGACTGCTAAGGAAATCTTGCGGTAATAATGTATAAAATTGTGCCAAATTATTCATGTAATGTATACGTATTATAAACTCGAACTTTGTGCTGTTTAGTGCTAGATTTTTGTTGCTGCTTCTACGACTGACGACTAGGCACGTTATATCCACGACTGGATGTCCCTCACACGTTATATCCACGACTGGATGTCCCTCACATGTTATATCCACGACTGGATGTCCCTCACACGGTATATCCACGACTGGATGTCCCTCACATGTTATGTCCACGACTGGATGTCCCTCACACAGAATATCCACGACTGGATGTCCCTCACACAGTATATGCACAACTGGATGTCCCTCACACAGTATATCTACGATTGGATGTCCCTCACACAGAATATCCACGACTGGATGTCTCTCACACGGTATATTTCATAATGAATATTCTAAAGGATCATGTAACAGTGAATATTCTGAATGGTCAGATTACATTACTTCTACTAAAATCATGCGGCATAATAACCTGGCAGTGCTTGCCATCATTGCTATTCTGATGGTAAGGTTAACGTTAACGATCGCAAGGTTAGGATTCTCCAAACAATTTAAGTTAACCAACTCATTGTGTTTAATTTTAGAAATCTGTTTTAGTTTGGCTTATTCATTTCTTTCTGTGGCACTAACAAAACGTTAATAAAAGAACAGTTCTTTCTCTCTAATAAAACGTTCCGTCATATCGTTTATAACTTATAACACAATGGTAGTGCGACACCAAGGTATGACGTACAAGTTCTGTATAGCAGAATTAATGCCTATCCTGGAAGCAAAAATCGTTTACGTTCCGAACGTAACACTATACGTATGTTTACGTAAAAAATATTACCTATTATATATTTATTCAGGATCTCCCAATTTACTTTTTGGAACTTACGATGGATTTTTTTTTTATCTTACTTTCTGTCGTATCTCCGTTGGTTGCTATGAGATTCAGTGTCTGTACATTGAAGTGGAGCTGAAGATGTGATCATAATTAACTTACGTTGATCGTAAAATGATCGGCGAGTGTGATGCTCACAAAAATCATCATAATTATGATGAAACTTTAGCGGTTCCATGTCTGTAACTTCGTAAAGCTTGAACTGTGTTTTAACCGGAAAGACTTCAAGTACATTTTTCTATATGCGTTCACCCAGGAAAATCGACGGGTCACATTGTCCAAATAATAACGCGCTTTCTTACCCACAGCTGCAACGTATGTAGCACTAATGTCCCCATTCACCAGGCCAAACTGTGTCAGGATGACCCACACAAGCGCAGTAAGTGCATCACTATTTGGACCAAGTCTCCCTCACTTCACCGAGTGTTGTATTCATTTTACCCATACTCGTGCCCTTTTAAATGTCTCACCGTACAAACGTACAATTAAGTGACCGAGTTCTCTGGTGTACAGTGTCTACTCAAGCTCTTTATCAAATGTATACATATATACGTATATATATAAATATAAATATATACGCTATAGTTTTCTAAACTTGGTATTTTCACTATCCCTAACTACATACATGTAAGTATTATACCACCCCACAAACCCAATGTAAAGCAGAAGTGCTGCAACTGCAAGTGCTGCAGAAGTGCGCCTTAGTAAGAGAGGCATTTACGATTACTAACTAATAGTTAACAACGTCATATCCACGTATCTCTTACTGTGAACACTAAATACTATGCTACATTTTCACAACTGTTAAGACATTATTTCAGATAAGCGTCGTGTGCTATTTGAAATATTACCTATAGAGTTATACAAACCTATAAGAATAGAATTATCTGAGTTATGAACAATACGTTAGCTTTACTATAACTTACTTTACTTTATCTGAAGAAAAGTTCCACTCGCTGAGAATATAAATCTACAAATTCTCTGGTCATCAATCGCGCGTGTATAAACTTTACTATGACCTATTAAAATTCGCGTCATCAAGTATTCCTACCATACTTCCTTGAAAACTGGTTCTCTGTTCCTTAGTATGAGTGAATGCCGTGTTCTTTTCGTTATGTTTTGTTCGCATTATCTATGCCTATGTTACCCCTGAAGGAAGTTGGACATAGTCTAGATCACTATGATTTGTACCTTGTTTGTCTAAATACCTATGAAAGTATCAAATCTGTAATAAAATTCCATCAAAATCTATATTAAATTCAAATCATTGTCAAATTATAATTAAATCTAAATCAAAGTATTTTTAGATCTATATCAAAGTATATTTAAATCTATATCAAAGTATATTCAAAGTATATTGAATTATATTAACAGTATAATTTATTTTCTATTCAGAAATAGGTTTAGCGCAATCCTCTTAAGCAGTTGATACAACTGTGGTTTATTGTGCAATCCTAATTTAAGTCTTTCTTCTTCTTTCGAGCAAAGTCAAACCTCTAGCTATTCTTACTATCCTTTCCGTCCAACTTCCTACTCCTCTGATTTCCTCTGAGTTTCTAAAATTAATCCTTCATTCATTGTAACCTTCATAAAGTTTAATCACTGGGAATTAAAATCTCAGGTCAGTACTTGAACCTTGATAGACTGAGCAATACAATTCACCTCTTCGCCTTGCGCCTTTACTTAATAGTTTCTTGATTCCTTCTCCAGTATCTGCAGTCGGGTCCGGGTGTAGCAACAGACATTCTTTGACCTGCCCGTTATTCTTACATTCTGTGCCATACGTCACGACTGCGTCACCGAAGATCACTCCAAAAGCTGGAAATCGGACCACGCTCGCAACCAAATTTAATTCGTTTACGGCAGCCTAGAGAGGTTGTTGATTTTAGCAACATGCAAAATTAAACTTGTAGGGGCCACCCCCCTTATTGGATGCGCCATTTTAACACCATTGCCTGTTGGCCCATCCTGTGTTCTACCGGATGCGACTCGGCCAGTGTTGGCAAATTCTCGTTCGTTCATTCTTCAAATAAATGTTCAATATCCTTCGATTGTGTAAATTCCTTACAGATTATAGTAATAGACCAGTTAATTATAAATTCAGTAAACATCATATATCTTCAGTACATTTTTTCATATCCTAAGGTATAATATATTTAAGTCTCCTATCGTTCGATCGTGCTCACAAGCAGATATAGCTTGTGTTCAGTTCTTGATTATAGTAATATGCTCAGTGAATTTTTTATATCCTAAGCTATAATAAATATTTAAGTTTCCTATCGTTTGATCGTGTTCTCAAGTAGATATCGCTTGTGTTCAGTTTAAGATTGTAGTAATACGCTCAGTAATTTTTTTTATATCCCAAAGTCAAGGACTACTACACACAGGACATGCATAGCCTATGTCCAGCCTCTGCTAGCAGAGGCGATCGCCTACACTATGAAAATGCTGGTGTTTTAGTGGCATCAACAAATGATATGCCCATAATTGTTTCATACAATAGTATTACAACTGTCTCTTATACACATCTAGATGTGTATAAGAGACAGGCCAGTTTTGAAGNATTCTAAGGTATAATATATTTAAGTCTCCTATCGTTTGATCGTGCTCACAAGCAGATATCGCTTGTGTTCAGTTTAAGACTATAGTAATATGCTCAGTAACGTTTAGCATATTCTAAGGTATAATATATTTAAGTCTCCTATCGTTTGATCGTGCTCACAAGCAGATATCGCTTGTGTTCAGTTTAAGACTATAGTAATATGCTCAGTAACGTTTAGCATATTCTAAGGTATAATATATTTAAGTCTCCTATCGTTTGATCGTGCTCACAAGCAGATATCGCTTGTGTTCAGTTTAAGACTATAGTAATATGCTCAGTAACGTTTAGCAAATTCTAAGGTATAATATATATAGGTCTCCTATCGTTTGATCGTGTTCACAAGCAGATATTGCTTGTGTTCAGTTTAAGATTATAGTAATATGCTCAGTAACTTTTTTTAGATTTTAAGGTATGATATATTTAAGTCCCCTATCGTTTGATTGTGTTCAGAAGCAGATATCGCTTGTGTTCAGTTTAAGATTATAGTAATATGCTCAGTAACTTGTTTTAGATTTTAAGGTATGATTATATATAAGTCCCCTATCGTTTGATTGTGTTCAGAAGCAGATATCGCTTGTGTTCAGTATAAGATTATAGTAATATGCTCAGTAACGTTTTGTATATTGTAATGTATAATATATTTAAGTTGCCAATCGTTTGATCGTGTTCACAAGCAGATATCGCTTGTGTTCAGTCATAGATTTGTGAGGAATTATTGATTTCTCCCCAAAAACAAGTTTCCAATTTTCATTTTCCTTTACCCCTATTTACGAGATAATAAAAAGCGGATACCTGGCGCGCAGTCCGACTTGCTTTAATTTGACTTGACGAGGAAGTTGAGGTCCGCTGCAGGGAACGCTCAAAAGAGGGATTCCTTTTTACACGGTTGCGAGTGGTGGTGCTCGGCTACTCAGCCAGAATTCAATTATTCACATACTCTCAAGTTTCGGTCATCGCGTGAATAATATTTGTCTTTACAATGATCTATCTTCTACAGTTCACTATACTAGGATCTTTAGATCATCAAGAATGAACTATTACCATATTGGCCATCATATCAAGAAATGGTTCCTTTCATTACAAGAAATGGTTCTTCAGTTTTACAGTAAGCAGTGAATGTTCACCTCACGAATCATGTAGGCGACTATCTGGGGAAGAGAACGTCTTCAAAATAAGGCTCTGAAAAAAATATACATCTTGCGTGAACTGATGTCAAAATTTGGTATCAGTGGCCATATAGGAATTGGACCTGATTCTGCGTCGTCAGGAAATTCGAAATATTATCTCATCGAGGATACTTTATTGGACACTTTATTTATTTTATACGCAAATTATCCACAAGCATAAGATTCCTGAACGAATTTTTTTCCATTCGCAAACTTGCAACACTTTAACTCGCTCTCCTTTCCACACCACATCCCGTACGAGTTTGTCCGCTGCACGTGTTCAAAAATATTCTTTACGCATCAAGCTTAACTTTGATACCTTGCTTTGATTTAAAAGCAAAGAAAATAGCCAGAAAATTCACCATTTCTTAAAAAGGAAAACGTTTCGGAGACCAGCTCCATCATCAGTTCAAAACCTAAAACTATTTTAAATCAGTCTATAAATCAGTAGCCATAGACTCAGAGTCTATGGCTAAAGAGTTGAAAGATTTGTTCTCTAAATACCTCCCAAATGTAAATCTTTATGTATTGCTGGTGAATAATTTTAAAATCAGTTCTTTTTTCAAGTATAAAGACACACTTCCTGTTCCTATGCGATCGTCCCTAGTTTATCAATATAGTTGTGCGCTATGCGCATCTGCGTATGTCGGTATGACATCTCGCAACTTTTATACTAAGCTGGCGGAGCATAAAGGAAGGAGTTTTAGAACAGGAAACCTGCTTGCGCATCTCCCTCATTCAGCAGTACGCGTCCATGCCGAGCAGTGCAACGTGCCAGTGTCCGATAGTGATTTTCGAATTTTAGCCTCCACGACCGGTATTTCCGACTTGCGAATTCTAGAGTCCCTTTATATTTTTAAACAAAAGCCTATTTTAAATGCCGCTAATAGTTCATATCCCCTCGAAATTGTAAATAGATAGATTTGTGCCCGTGTTTGCTTCATTCTTGTTTGTGTCTCATTTGACGATTTGTGCATCAATGTGAATTTATTGCTAATTGTTTGTACCTGTGTTTTAGGTTTTGAACTGATGATGGAGCTGGTCTCCGAAACGTTTTCCTTTTTAAGAAATGGTGAATTTTCTGGCTATTTTCTTTGCTTTTAAATTTTTGATAAACTTGCGATTTAAGCAGTCAAGTGATATTAATACCTTGCTTTGAACTATGGGACGCTTTGATTATTTTTCACCGGCCGAATGAGTCATTTTTCGAATACATCGCTGCGTGTGAAGCGGCTAAACAGGGAGAATGTCATCTGCCATGCTGAAGTCACTGCTGCTGTCTTCATGGTTTCTTTCACGTGGGAAATTTTCCAGTTTGCCAGTTAGCCGAGTCAGTGATGGAGCTGAAACGAAACTTTTCGCGTTCTCGACTTTATTCTTTGTCACTTCTACTTGAAAATTGTCAATCGTCATCGAATACTTTCCTTCCGAACCACCGGGAAAATTATTCAGAGTAATAGCATCATTAGCACTTGGCATTGTTGGCATTGTATCACGCCGCTTTGAAATGTCTTTCATTGCCAGCCGTTCAACTGAGACCGCGGCCATGTTTTCCTCGACACGACCAGCGTGTTCCTCATCACCTGGATTGTTTGATTCAATGAGCGCTCCAAGTTTCTGTTTTTGCCCACGGAAACATCGTTGGTTTTTATTTATGATATTTTTCTTTTCCTTATTTAGTGACTCTTCATCTTTATGTTTTGCTTTCTCAGCGAGTGAGAAACGTGATTCTTCTGAGGCCGGGCTACTGAGAACGATCGCCGTCTCTTGCGGACCTGCAGATTGTTGGGTGCTCGTGACAAATTCTACATCCCGGGGTCTCTTTCTTACGAATAACTCACTCGGGACATTAGCACAAACTTCATGTGATTCGTTCCCCACAATCTCCGCCGAGTTCTTTCTATTCATTTTGCCTTCCTCATTTGGAATTGAGTGGCTGACGTTTATTTGTTTCGCCGACAGGTTTTGCGAAATATTCCGTCCTTCCTCGTCGGTGCTGCTGAGAACAATTTCAATGGTCCGAGCATTTGCATCATTTTTGCGTGCACTTGCAGTTGATGCGTACCCTGTATGCTCAATGGGTGGCGTTATTTGTTCAGATTTGTAGCCGTGTTGCTCATCCCAAGCTAGTTTAGGAACATACAAGCTGCTATTCGAGTCGCTGTCGGCCGAATTACTTTTACTTCCATCGCTGTAACTATCACAACTAGTGGAACCTTCACTAATACCGTCATTTTCACAGCTAGCGGAGCCTTCGCCAATACTTCCACGAGAGCAGTTCTGCGAATTATAATTGATCTGATCAAGATAGCTTCTTCTCAGGTCAATGTGATTAAGCTCATTGTCGTTTATGATGGGCTCGGTGTTCTTAGCGCTGCCCCTGGAACAGTGACTTTTGATTCCCTCTCTGTTTTCTGCCTCGGCGATAGTGCCGGGGTCGCTATCAACTGAAACCTCAAAGCTAGTAGGATTGTTGCAATCAATTCGGTTGTGATTGACGGACTTCCCTTCACTTCCGGCTGATTGTTTGGTTTTCCTTTTAATTTTAGACTTATTGTTGCTACATTCGCTGCTTTGATCGCTGCTCCCGGTCCCCTGTGAACTGACGACATGGGTTACTCTAATCGTCTTATTTACGGAGATGTCGTTGCGTTCATTGCGACAGCTGCCATCATCATTGAGACAACTGCCATCATCATTGAGGCTGCTGCTGCCATCATCTTTGAGACGACTGCCATCATCATCATTTAGGCTGCTGCTGCCATCATCTTTGAGACGACTGCCATCATCATTGAGGCTGCTGCTGATATCATCTTTGAGACGACTGCCATCATCATTGAGGCTGCTGCTGATATCATCTTTGAGACGACTGCCATCATCATTGAGGCTGCTGCTGTCATCATCAGAACGAGATGTACTTAATTTTGGATGAAAAGTATGGCAAGACTTTATACTTATTTTACTACTTTTCCTCCTGATTATTTTCTTTCGTGATTCTCCTCCGCTTATCCGTTGGTCTTCGACGTCATCTGCAGTTTTTCCTGCATCGGCCTTCGGAAAGTCAGCCAGGATATTTTGAGGCGGCGGATGCTCTTTGAAACAGATTGAATGCTTTGTTACATCACTTATATTATTTCGAGGGCAATTTTCTCTTTCTTTCCTTCGGACAATAGTCCCCTTTGACTTCCGTGTCGCAGCATTGCCACTTGCGAAGATTGGGATTTTTTCGACGCTTCGTTCGTACGTCTCTTCGTTGCCTGAATCTGTGGGCATCCTGCTTCTGTGCTTGTTAAATTTTGTATTGTTTCTTGCACCTTTTTCACCACGCTTTAATCTGTTGCTGAGATTGGTAACATCTTCAGATCCACGCAGGCTCTTTTCTTCACTATTTTCACTTGTAGAGTTTCTATGACCCCGTGGGCTGGTTTCCTCGAAAAATTTTCTGTGAGTTCGTTTTTTGTTTTCGACGCTGCTGAGCTCTGCGGTGCTGTAGCCGCTTGGTCTTTCGAAGTTTCGGGAGTCGAGTTTTGTGCAGCTAACAGTCTGAGAATTACTAAAATTATTTACGTTTTGTTGTGATGTCTTGTGTTTGCTTACATTCATGTCTCCATATGCATCGCTGGTCTTTTCAAGTTTGATCTTCCGTCGTCTGCTGGAACATTTCCTAGTGGGTGTTTTTCCGGTAGAAATGGAAGAAGGTTCTAGAGCGCTGGTGCCTGATGAGTCATAATGTTGTTCCCTGCTGAACGCTCTTAATAATTTATAATTTAGTTGCTTTAGTGGCATTGCCTTGTTCCTCCTGAGCTCGACTGGTGGAGTAATGGTTGACGTTGAGTTTTCCTGAGAAACAAACTCATGGGAAGCAGCCTCCTCGCGGCGGTGAGAGCGGCTCACGTCCTGCAGCCATCTGCACAAGATATATTATATATATCTTGATATATATACATAATATATGTCCATATTATTTATATTTTATATTTATTTGTATTTATATATTTTATATTTACATACATATCTATATTTTTATTGCTGAAATTTAAACGATTATTAAGGAGGTACAATATTAGCACTGATTACAATCGCAATTTTTTCAATTAAATAATTTTTAGTTTTAAATTCATATTAATTTTTAAACGAATTGAAAAAGTTAGATACTAACGCGAGCCTTTTGACGTAGTGAGCCAGCCAGCCGTAGGGATGGGTGTGGAGGGATGGGGGTTGCAGTGGGTGCAGGGGGGCCGTCGTGGGGAAAAGCAGAGCTTGTACAACCCCAACGCAGACACTCACGCTCTCCCCAAGCTCCAGCAACATTCCCTGTTTTATAAAAAAAAAACAATTAAATATCACCAAAAACTAAATGTCATTGTAATGAATCATATTTAGGCAATCAATTTGTTTTAAAGTAACAGGACATCAAACATGGATTAGTGCTCATTCTGAATCTTGGCAATAGAAATCTTGGCAAAAGAAACATGAATTTAACTCACAACAAAATCTATGTCTTGGTCTTGCTTTACAGCATTCGAGGACGCGGCGTCCAGGAGGCCTGACAGCATCTTCTCCGTGACTTTTTCGTATTCCACCTGACGAAGAAAATGTTTATACCAAGTGCTAATCATCTTATATATTTTCTACTGTTCCTTCAGTGATAAATCATTATTTCGCTCTCGAATTAACAAAAGATGATAGTAATTTCCATGCTTCAGAATGAAATTATCATCTTTATAAAAATAATCTCGTCGGCCACGTAGTTACCAGAAGTCGTCGGTATGCGGCCGTGGCACTGGGCTGCTGGACCGCCGCCCGCTGGCCGCCGCTGGGCGGCAGGTCGCTCTCGAGTTGCTGCAGTACATTCTTCCCGTGTAATTAACGAACATACATCATGAAAATATTATTAATGTCGTAGTTATAAGCTTCATTTGTAATATTATGAGATATATTGCATGCTTTACGTTACAGTGACAGTTGTTTCGTACAGTTCTAATTGTAGTTGGGACACACAATTTCTGTTTGCATCAGGGTTCGTTAGCGTGAATATTGTGCCTGCGTCCAATGTCGAAATTTGTTACTTAGTAAATACACATTTTCATTCATTCAAATTATAAGATACAGAAATGTATATCTATCATCACTCAGAGAAATGAGTGAGACTCGGTAGAAATCGCGATGTATACTCTTTGCTCAATTGTGGGTCATATTGACCCAGTTTGACCCGGCAAAGGAATTATTAGTGCTGCGTCCGCTCTCTGCTCGTGTTGTGGGTACAAAAATTTGTTATTATTTGGACAATATGACCCACAATTTCTTCTGATTGAGTGTTTAAAAGACGATCAACGTAAGCCTCTCACCTTCCACTCATTGAGTTTGTTCGTCCACTCTTTGACCTCCGCAGTTTGCGCTTCCACTTGTTTATGGTGGCTGAATATGAAGCTTAAATGTTGCTTTGGGATCGCTGATCTGGATGGCGTCTTGTTGTTTAAATCATTCATGTGCTTTGCTGTGCTGCTGTGCTCACCACTGAGAGTCCCATTCACATGCTGTGCTGTGCTGCTGTGCTCACCACTGAGAGTTGCATTCACATGCTGTGCTGTGCTGTTGTGCTCGCCACTGAGAGTTCCATTCTCGTGTTGTTCTGTGCTGCTGTGCTCTCCACTCTGGGTTACGTTTACATTATTTAAAGTCTCGTTAGTTTCACATTCAAGTGCCTCGCTGTTGTCGCGTAACGAAGGTTTCGATTCGTTGATATTGGACTCTACATGATCATTCATACTTTCTTCGACTTGATCGGCCTTTGAAGAAACTGCAATCAGGGTATTAGATGACATTTCTCTAGGAATTGTTGATGAACAAGTTGATTTATTTTCAGATACTGTAATATTATTTGCAAAAGAATAGTTAAGACCTTTCGACGTTGATTCGTGGTTATCCTCTTGCGATCCGCTTAAGCGTCTGTTTTTTGATGCCGAGACAAAGTTTGCGTTCTTTTCTTTCATATTTGAATCCAAAATGCTAAAATACTGGTCAAAATTTTGAGTTTTCGCTTGTAAACTATCGTTTGAGTTGACAATACTTGATCTAGGAGTATTACTTTCTTTCTCGCGGAGACCTTGCGCAGCCTGTGCAATTTCTTTTCTACCAGAAGTGCCCTCGTCCTGACTGCACGCTCGAGCGTACTCTTCCCATTGGCGTAGGATGGTTACTTTGTTTGTTTTACCTCCGAATTTATTGCTCTCAGCCCTGAATTCTCCTTTTACAGAGTCTACATTAGGTTCGGAACTACAAGGACCAAATAATTTTCTATCTTCAGTAGAAATACTCTCTTCTGTTGCATCAAGATCACTAGTGGCTTTCGAGTCACTTACACACATAGAACCAATATTCAATCGAGCTATTTCTTTTTCATTTTCTTTCAGTTTCCGTTCGAGTTCCTTATTTTTTATTCTACGCTGCTCGGCCTTCAAAAGAGTTCGAAGCAGAATGAGTTCTAAGCGATATTCACGAGCACCACTTCTCACCATCATGGAACGACGATTGTCTGAATCGAAGCTGCCATCGTCATTAATCACCATCTCCTGTAGAGTTTTATCAGAAAAAGATGACGTTTCGGAAACTTCATGATGTCGCTGCGATGATCGTGTTTTATGGAAAGGGTTTCGATATTTTTTCCTATCATTAAGGTTCGAGTCTGAATCAGGTTTACTGTGAATTTCTGAATGCAAGTATTGTAAATTTGACGTTGATGTGTGTTGCCGTTTTATGCTGCGCTTGCTGAGTGTTACTCCGTGGGACTCCCTTGGAGTCCCTCGTCGTTCGCCCCCTAAACATTCTTCGTCTACCATAACATTTGAAGTTTTTGCGGCTGACGTAGTGTCTCGTTTTTGCCTGCCACTACTCGAGTATTTTCGTTCAGAACTTTGGTATTTGGAGGAAACTGCGCTTCTTTGACCGTTCTCTTGAGACGAATCGTCGCTTTCGACCTCTGAGAAATTGATCGAAACTGAGGAAGAAACTTGATCTGAAGCCCTCGAGTCAGGAGTGGAAGATAAACATGTGATTTTTGGTTGCAGTTTCGACGTAAATTTTTCTCCTAACGATACTACGGGCTGAGGATGAGCTTCAATTGATACAGTTTCTTCTTGATTGACTCCTGAATTCCGAGAATGGCAACAATGTTCATCTTGTATTATTCCCACTCCGAGTTGAGTTTTCGTTCCCAGTTCCATTGATGGTTCTTGATTTTGAACTTCAGTTGAAACTGGGCAGGGATATACACTGATGCTTGAAACATTATGCTGAGGCTCGTCGAGATTTGATGTTGAATGAGATCGATTTAGCTGAGTCGAAATTTCCTTACAGAAATGTGGAGGATTGATTTCCAAGTTGGTGTCCTGTGGACGCCCGACAGAGGCGTTCTCAGATTTCGGTTCAGTTGTGACACGGGCGTCAATATTTGTTGTGACTAACGTTCCGAGAGAAGGGACAATCCAATCCTCTACAATTTTCATGAGACTTTTTCTGGCTTTCTCTTGATCCGAGTTTTCTTCTTTTAAAATTTGTGATGAATTATCAGCATTTAAAAATATGGATCCAGAATAATGTGCTTCTTCAGAAGCATGGATCTTTCTATAGGGCTTGACTGAGTTCGTTGAATTTTCCTTGGCTTCCTCACTAGTGTTTTCTATTCTCCCTGGAAACTTCATGTGGCCATTTTGATGATCATTCCTGTTATTTATTGTCTCTTCGAAATTCTCAGAATCTGATTTATCCAACCTTTGGCTCTGTTTCAAGTTTACTTCGGATGTTTCTCTCACAACGGAGTTAGTTATAAAACTCTTCCAGGATTCCACCAAATTGTTTTCGTTACCACACAGTTGATGAAGTCGACTGTTCTCTTTAATCAGCAGTTCACAAAAGTTTAAAATCATCGGCTGCATTGTACGATTGCTGTTGTCATTACTAACTTCCGGCTCTTGTGTTTGGACCGTTTGATCAATCAAATCCTGATGACAAACTGTTGATGTTCCCACCGTCACCTTTCTCTTGGCAATTGCACTATCTTCATCATCGCTCTTCGTCGTTCGGCTGCATATTCTAGGTGTCTGCATTGGGCCTACATGCCGTCGGTCAGAAGTTTCAGATTTTGAACATAAGCAACCATCACAAGCGCGAATATGATCTCCACGACATTCCAAATCGCTTCCTTCATAACTCTGAAAATCCCTTCCTCTACCAACGCCTTCGTAACTTCGGCAGTCACTGCCGTGGTTGAATTCTCTTATCGGGCCGGCTTTTTGAGATCCAGTTCCTAGTTTCGTTCTGAGCCCCGTGTTTTCTTTGACCAGTTGCTGTATGGTGTTGCTTAAAGAATTAATCTCCTTGCTGAGACCCATGTCACCCAGTCCTGGGATGCTACTTTCGTCGCTCTGAAGAGACTGCAAGATGCTGTCAATGCTACTTTTTCGGGACGACTCGGCAGGTGTCGATTGTAGCTCATCAAACCTGGTCGACTTTGTGACTTTATTTTTCCTGATTCCAGTCGCTAGGATTTTTTTCTTTGGTCGTTTTACAACTGGCACGTTGTACTGTCTGCTGCGCCATGGACCCATAGATCCACTGTGTTGCCGTTGTTTGTCGTTCATTTGACGCCGCGTAATATGAACATATCTCGGTACGGTACGAGCTATCTTGCAATTCTCAGTCTCCCATGTCCTCGCAGGAACAACAGGCTCGTCATCGCTCATGTACATTTCCATCCAAGCTTCATTCTCTCGTTTAATCGTCAGCTGCTCGAGTCGTTTATCGAGTTCCGTTTTCCTGCTAACCACATTATCGATTGCACGTCGCAGAGACGAAGATTGCAGCATCAGCGGGTTACCAGGATCAGGTAAATTGCTGCTGGACTCATTTGAACAAAGCATGACGCTCCTCGCGAGCTCCATGTTCATCGGTGCAATGGGTTCATGTACGTGCAGGTTCACCGTAGGAGTTTGTGGTACGAAGTCATGAGGCAGTTCGGTTGTATTCGAAGGATCCTCAGTTTGTTTTTTTGAATATTTGTTGGCAAAATTATCATCTTTATCCTTGCATTGGATCAGGTCCCAATCGTCACTGTACTTTTGGGAAAGTTCTTTTGTACTTCCATTCAAGGGTTTTTCGATTAATCGCTCTCCTTGATAATTTTTATTCAACTCCGTAGTCGAATTTTTTGATGCCAAGTTTGAGCTTATTGTATTTATTGTAGTTCCACTCATAGCATTTCCCTTGCGACGAGCCATAAATTTTTGAGTATCCTCGGTTGGAAGACCTTTGGTGGAACTCATAATTGAGTTTAGTTTGCAGTTATATTCTGTTGCAGGCATCAATTCACTCGAAGGAGAGGTTCTGGCTTCATCAAGAGTTGGATATTTTGGGAACAACTCTTCAAATTTGCAATTGCTCAACAATCCAGGTTGTTCCCATCTCGATAGCGCAGGATTTACAATATCATCACACTCTCCGGATTTATCATCATACAGAGCACGATTCTCGGAGTGATGAGTCAGCAAAAATTCCCTTTTTTGAAGTCTTGCATTCCCGACCGCAGCGTCGTGTGACATGACCGCGCTCTGCTCGCCAGGCC